TGCATGTCTGTAATTCCTGTTAGAAGATTTTGCCAGAATTAGACAGCACTAATGTCAGGCAAGGCAGTCAATCGTGTTTCTCAAAAGAAGGCATTTTCTGTCTATATTATTCATTGTCTTTCTCAAGCACTAGGTATGGAAAATGTACGGCCAAAGGGGCAACAGAAGGGACAGTTTTCATCAGTACTTTTCACGGATTTAGAATCTCAAAGACTGAAGTGTTGAATCTCTTTAAAATCTGCGAGATTCCCTGTGTATAAAAATCGAGACATCTTAAATCAAAAGCATCCAAAAATTGTTTGTCAGTCTCTTCGCATAACTAGACAAAGTTACTTCGAAATACACCTTTTCTTATAAAAAACAGTTAACAGTTAAAAGTTAAAAGTTAACAGTTACTCCGAGATACGCCTTTTCTAATTAAAAAAAAAAAAAATAGTTTGCTGGGTCTCTTTCCTTTATTTCAAAGGATTGGATTTCGAGTTGATCGGTTTTAAGTAGCATTCAAGCATAGTCTCCAGAACAGTTGAAACTCTACTGTATAGTGTATAAAAGTTTGGATCTTCGGCTTACATTTCTGTTTCATTAAAAACGGGAAACATAAGCTTCTCGAGGGTAGACTCAGCTGGCAGGAGTTTTAGGGATGGTAACTGTTCAAGCAATATTTTCCCTACGTTATGAAGTGACAAATATCTGGTTTATGGTAATATTTGATGTGATTTCACATTCGTAAATCCTAAACTTTTTTCAAAGATTTGTGTCTTCTTAGGTGACAAAAATAAGTTTTGGGGTATAACTTTAATCAGTCGGACAAATATCTGGTTTATGGTAATATTTCATGTGGTTTCACATTCGTCAATCCTAAACTTTTTTCAAAGATTTGTGTCTTCTTAGGTGACAAAAAAATGTTTTAAGGTATAACTTTAATCAGTCTTGGCAAGGATGCGCATACATACGATGCTCAAAGATTTAAAAAATGACATACTGCATTATATATAATTTGACTGACAATGTTTTTAGCAAAGATGAAAGGGACTGATGAGTTACCGTCATCACACGAGCCCCATCCCCGGCAATATCATATTTACTGGAAATATTTCCATCAAGAAACAGACTGAAAACATTTATAAAGACTGCCGGCAGTGGCTCGATCTTGGGGAAGAAATTATTAAAACAAATTCTTAATGCTCTCAGAGGTATAAACTCTAGCAAACTATAGAGTACGTTAACTATCATTGAAAAACGACAATTGGGAACGTAATTATAAGTTTTTCGGCTTTCACTTTTCTCTCTATGTCTCGCCTTCAGACACGCACCATACATTGGGCACTTTCAGCAATCTTTTGACGCTTTGCTATTTCAGATTTACCGCCTTCCCTCCCCTCGTCTTGCATTGGAAATAAAGAGAGCCCAACTGTTAATGTATTTTTGCGTGTATGACTGGCGTTTCCGCTTGGGTGGGGTAGACATGTAACTAATCTGATTGTCACCCGTCTTCATTGCAACTGTCGATTTCCAAATTTCCGGTTGATTTAAGGACATCATACGGACATGCACTTCACGATATAGGGACGAATCTGCATGAACGGTGGTCAGTTAAGCTAAGGTCACATTAGTCTGGCCAGTTACTGTTTTTGACTGGTCAGCTGACCTGACTTCGGCGAGGGTGCCTAGGGATCCCAAGACAGAGAAGACTAGTGTGATAGCTTTACATACCGACATATCCCCTCCCCCTTCTCTCTCTTCTCTCTCTCTCTCTCTCTCTCTCTCTCTCTCTCTCTCTCTCTCTCTCTCTCTCTCACTCACTCACTCACTCACTCACTCACTCACTCACTCACTCTCTCTCTCTCTCTCTCTCTCTCTCTCTCCTATTACACAAGCATTATAAACCATACACGAGCAATTTTCCTAAAAATAACTTTGTCAAGTCTCAGCCCTTTACAAAGTCTACCAGTTTAGCTCCTCCCCTTCCCTAAAATCTGCCCACTCCTGCCCCACTAGAAAAGACGGCTCATCCTAACTTCTGCACCGGGTTCACAATTTAAATTTTTAGAAATGCACTGGAAGACCCTTCAGTGCCGGATGCCTTCCGTTCTCAAACGACCATTTTCTGGATATTAGCATGAAGGGCTATGTTTTTGGAGGTGGTGCATAGAAGTCGGATCCTGCTCGGCAAGGTAAGATGACTCGTGACCTGTATCAGCTGCAAACGAGGCAATCTCGTCATTTCTGGCAGTGGTGGCGGAAGCTGTGAAGCTGTTAGATGCAGCTGGAGCAAGCTTTACTAGCAAGTTTAGCAGTCTCGACCATAAAATATCACTTGTTCAAAATGTAAACAATATGTTAGATTACTTTGTAAATTCCCATGGCCAGCATTCTGTCGGATTCCAGGAAATTAATTTCCTAATAATTTCTCAAAGTTTTATTCCTGAAACGTGTTATGATCACATAACAAGTGTGAAAATACACACACCTGGCGCACATGTTAAGAGAATGAAAATGTGTCTCGGACAATATATTCCACTGCAGGGAAAAATCCAACGATAGCTTTGTGAAGTACAAAAACACACCAACAAAATGTGGTAATTTGACCGCAACACGGAATATACATCTTCCCAGTGCAAGAAATGTACTTGACCGGTTTCCACTAAATCTTCGCCTTACACCGGTTTCAATTATATCTGTATCTTCGACCAAGATAGAGACTAAACCGGTCAAATAATCTCTTGCGGTGGGGAGATATCCGCTCTCATTCACGCCTCTCCATTTGTAGACCGACAGAGAGGGGGAGAAAGAGAGGGAGACACAGAGAGTAGTGTGACGGATAAAAAGCAAGAGAGAGAGAGAGTGAGAAGACAGAAATACTCAGAGAACCATAGACCAATTAAGCGTTAAAACATTCCAAAATTGAAAAAGTGATAATATAATAAAACACTGATGATGAAGATGATGATAGTAACAAGTCAATATGGTTATTATAAAATTCATAATAATAGCAATTCTAATAATGATTATAATGACAATAAAATTCCAAACTTCTGTCATATAGGGCGAAATATATACACGTATATCTTTCGAAATGTATAATACTGAAATATATATGTATTTACATATTCATTAAAAGGGTTACTCCTCCCCCCCCCTACCCCCCCCCTCCACCCCCTACCCTCTTCTTTTCGTTCTTTCAACGTAAACAATACAAGAGGAAGCTGACTTGTTCAATTTTTTTTTTCGCTAAAAGAGATGGTATGTGCTCCTTCCAGCTGTAAGCCTGTGATAGTAGTAATGAAGAAAATTATTAGCATTAGCATGTAAAAAAAAAAAAAAAAAAAAAAAAAAAAAAAAAAAAAAAAAAGTGATAACCAACATGTAGTGTTAGATATGAGTCAGTTACCACACCTCGATCAATACTGCAATATTCCAACAAACAGTTACAAAACGGTGGCAATAATCGAGTAAATATAACGTTTATCCGATATATGCATTAATTTCGAAATTCGGTCGATAAAACCTTGGAATTATTTGCATTGTTTGTTATCTTGGAGGAAATCATGTTCCCAGCGCGTTACGTCATAGGAGTTATTACATTGTTTGATCCAGAAAGACACGTGAAGCTTTGCACATATGTGTGATGGTAGATACAATTATGTTAAAATTACACATAAATTTGTGATCAATTTCCATTTACTAATACTTCTAGGGGATTTTGGGACATTCCACTAGTTATAATTAAATATGAAGCCTGAAGGTCGTCGCTCATTCTTCCTTGCATATTACATGGACACAAACCTTCGTGGATACGGATATTATTAGACTGGTGAAACAAATGCCATGTTTACTTGTTCCCCTTCTGTCAGGTCCACCAAAAATGCAGTAATAAATGATTAATGCACTACGGAATATTCACGACAGACCGAAATTGGTCATTTTTGTCTTAGCACATTAGTAATTCAAGGAAAAGCAACGGCATTGTAACAGACAAGTATTCACGTAAAACAAAAGTTGAAATGGAACAAAATCATAATTATGTTGGGCAAACCTTGTATTACAAGCAAATTAACAACTGCTATTTTTATGGGGGGGGGGGAGTTAATTCGGCGTTGAGAAGCAATGTTCCTTCCTTCAATTCTTCTTACTTACAGGAAAAGAAACAAAAATAATCATGCCTATCGATGGAGTCCATAAACACGCAAATGTTTACACGCCGTTATTATCGCGTAGTCAGCTCAGTGTAGTGATAAGTCATGAGAAACGTAAATGGGAAACAGGAAACCAAAACCAAATGGTGATGGTTGACAAAGTCTCTCTCTCTCTCTCTCTCTCTCTCTCTCTCTCTCTCTCTCTCTCTCTCTCTCTCTCCTCTCTCTCTCTCTCTCTCTCTCTCTCTCTCTCTCTCTCTCTCGTTCTCACACACACATACACATAGAAAGGGGGTGGGCGAGCGGGCGCCCCCCCCCCCCCCCACACACACACACAAACATGCGCGCGCGCGCGAGCGAGCGAGCGAGAGAGAGAGAGAGAGAGAGAGAGGAGAGAGAGAGAGAGAGAGAGAGAGAGAGAGAGAAGAGAGAGAGAGAGAGAGAGAGAGAGAGAGAGAGAGAGAAGAGAAACAGAGAGAGAGAAAACAGAGAGAGAGAAACAGAGTGAGAGAAAGAGAAACAGTGAGAGAAGAGAGAGGAGAGAGAGAGAGAGAGAGAGAGAGAGAGAGAGAGAGAGAGAGAGAGAGAGAGAGAGAGAGAGAGAGGAAGAATGAAAGGGCGGAGCAAAATGACAGAGAGGAGAAGGGGAGAGGGAGAGAAAGAGAGACCTTGGTAGTGCAGTTGTGTTGTTGGTTACCAAGCTCTCCCGGTTACCATCGAGGAAGCGAAACGTGGAAGAAGATCTACCAACTACGGAAGAAAAAGATTAATACAATGCGGCGAATGTCGATCTACTTGACCTATGAAGTCATGATAAACGTCATATAGAACATTTTTATTTTATCCATCGACTTCATCCACGAGCCTTGACACAGAGCGAGGAAACACTCCGTTCTCGTTTCCTCAATTGAGGCAAGGAGCCATGTTTGTTTATGTTCATCCCTTGGAGATCCCTGGTCGCTCCTCGTCTCCCTCGTGTGTGAGTCTCCTAGCTCTATTTCCCCCTCTGTATTTCGCCTATGAGCTCGTTTCCTTGGCCGGCTTGAGGGGCACGAGACTCCTGTAGGCGACGTGAGCGAGATCCAGAGAGGGATGGCTGTCTTTTGGGGGGGCAGGGACGAGAGGGCTTTGGGAAGGAAGATTTTGAATAAATTTCTCTAATTCACCCTGTACCTGAGGATTATTTTTAAAATCTCTCTGTCGAGGTGATACGTAATAGGTTTAGAGCAAATGGTAGGACAGTTGGGAATATAGATGTTCTCGTATTGAATTAGATAAAACAAAGCCAGGGAATGTAGACCCAGTCATAGGCCTATTCGTACTTGCGGTGGAAAACATTAGAACTGCTAACTAGAAATACAAAATAAAGTATTTGACTCAAAAATTACAATGATAATAAAACCTCATTCCATAGAATTCGTAGAGATCAAAAGGAGATATAAAATATATAATGCAAAGAGCCCTTGTCTTTGAAATGAGAAGTGCCTTTGTTCACATTGATGTCTTGGAATTGTATTGATTTGTGATCTTGGAATTACTTTAACTTACAAACGTTTATTGCAAATGATTTGTCCTGTGATAATAATCTGTACAGTGTCAGTTGAAGTAGATTAGTTCATGCTACTGTAATACTTTCAAGATGTAAAGACCTACATATGAGATGGTGTTGTAACCAGTGTTGATTAGGGTTTTGATTGCATTCAAGTGGAAGCTGAAGATTGGAAATTATGAAATTGCATAGAATTGCATGTTTTCTTACAATTTTTTATATTTCAGATGGATTAATTTCAGATATAGGCCTACATATGTAGTTATGATGTATGATAAGTTGTTAGATATAGGCCTACATGTGTAGTTAGGATGTATGATAAGTTGCCTGAAAAGGATTATAAGATGGATTATAAGAGTAATCATAAACAAAAGACTTTATTTATTTTTTTGTGTTTTGTTTTATCAATTTGTTTATTTTTTCTTATTTTTCTTATTCCCATTCTTTTAAATTTATGTATTTCAGAGAGAGGAGGGGATGGTATTATATGTTTATGAATATTCTTATCAGATCAGTTAATATATGCTTGTTGCATTTTTAAATAGACATTAGAAACATAAACCATTTTTGGACAATTAGTCTCACTTTTCACCATACTCCAGAAACAAAAAGATGTAGAAGGCCAGGAATTTCCTGGGGATAATGTAATCTCAATGCATTTTCTGGGAATTTTATAGAATCAGTCCACATCTCAGTGATTTTTTAGTTTTGTACAGCCTTGCAATGATTTGTTTCTGTTATTCATCATTTTATGTGCATAAATCCCTTGTTTTCTAATGTGAATGACTGAAAAAGTATCGGTAGCTGTATATTAAATAACCCCCACCTGCTGTATATTAAGTATTACTTCTGCCATTCCAGGGAATCCACAAACAAAACCTTCCATACCCCAGAGCTTTGTCCTTAGACCCCAGCCTTATCACACTGTATCCCTATTGGGGTTTCGGCCACCTGACCACCCTTCTCATCGCTATGGACTTTTGTAATACATATTATCATACAATGGTTTTTGTTAGTGGCTGGCAGTGATATAATAGTATTATATCACTGTTTTTGTTGCCAGGCACTAAGGAAAACTACTATAAATGCATACTAGACACCATAAGGAATCACTGAAAGTAATTTTAATGGATTTTGAGATGTGGGTATAGTTTCAGTGTCATGCCCATACAGTATAAGGTAAAATTGGCTTGTAAATTGCTGTGACGTGGCATACCCTCTGGCCCTTGCCCGAGGAAAGGGTAGATTCACCTTCCGACAAACATTGTCTTCATCTTAGTATGCATAGCAAGATAGAGCTGAAACTCAGAGCACTGAGTAGACATGGGTTGTGAATGGAACTTTCCGGGATATTTTATATGTGTATTTCTGCCTACGTTCTAAATGTGGCACTTTTTAGCATCTTACATATATAATTGCAACATTCACAGAACCTACAAATGGGAAGGAACACATCAGCTGACAGTATTTCTTTCCCTGCAGTATTGGGTGCAATTTGATATTTTTTTCACACTCTTGACCTTCGAAGGTATATATGCATGATTATTTTGCTTTGCATGATCTATTATAATGCATATATTTGACCTCACTTGTTTAGTGGGTAGGGATATTAAAACGATGGCATTCATTTTTTTTATTATTAAAGCAACTCTAGAAGATAAATTCCCATTGCTGTAGAGAGCAGAGGAATGGAAGTAGATATAGAAATATCTACACAGAGTGCAGAAAGGTGAAGCTAACTGGGAAAATAACTTCAGTCTCCTTCATGGTGCAATTCCTGAAACAGCAGTTTATAACATTAGCCATTGCTGATTTTAGATATTGCTGTTTAACCCATTTACGACAGGTGTCCCATATATGAGACACCCAGAAAAATAAACATTGCTGGTCATCCCGCTAGTGTGATGTTGGATCGGAGCTTGCGCTCTGAATACATCGCGGGCATAATCTGGGCCGGCCCCGCACGCCAGTTTTGTTGCCGCCCAGAAACTATTATTTTCGGCTTCAAAATATACCGCCGTTAGTGGGTTAATGGGACTTCCATTATTTTAAAGAGCAGACACAGATTTTTCAAACAATTAACCCATTGGACCCAGTTGCATCACGGAGATCACAGTGCCGAAAACCTGGGCAGTGGGTTACATAAGTGGCCAACATCCCCTGTGTGCAGCACATAGGCCTGGCGCACATGAACACCCATGAGCAGTGACAAGACTGTGCCTCCTTTTTTTGTGTAAATTTTACTAGCTTTATTGCCATTTTCCAATGTCCATATTTGTCATTTGATTTGCTTTATCCATTTGGTAATAGCTTATTTTCCTTGCACAGACTCCATATCATCTCTCTATGTAGTAATTAGCTCATTGCGAGAAAAAATAAAAAAACATGGAACATTTGGTTATTTGTCATATATCTAATTTTTTCGTAATTTTCAATTTTATGTAATGCAACCTGCGCTGCTGGTCACAGTGATCAGGAATACGGTGTTCAGCACAGAAATGGCATCCACCCTGGAGTTGGCACTCTTCCGGTCACTGTTTACGCAGGTTACATTCCACACTTGTTTGTCGATGGGAATAAAGCTAAAGCCCCCTTCTAAGCACCAAATGAGTCAAATGACACTCCAAGAGATTTGTGCACTCATGGCGAGTCTTTTCCGTCACCCTTGCAATAATTCTTACTATATTTACAATATTTTCTCTCAGAAGCTCAACCAAGTGTAAGAGGCTCTCATATGATTGGTTAATCTAATGCCACTGGGAAAATGTTGTGTTCACTTTAGTATTGTTTTATTTGATGTCTCTGCTTAGTGCTTAGCCAATGCTTAACCACAAAGGAGTCACCTGATTTCACCTTTCCTTGAGTTTGGGTGAAAATACTTTTTCATTACTAATGCTATCAATATTGATACTGTTATTTTTATTATAAGCATCATATTTATTATAGTGTTACTGACATTACTAACAACAGTATTAAATGCCAGAAAATATAATCGAAAATCAAAGAAATGGGTAAACAGGCGAGACAGATAGTCCTTGTAATTGGCTCATTGGTGACTAAGAACTTGTAGAGCCATCTATGTGTTGAAACAATTACTAGATTAACCACACAGTGGGAATGGCATATACGCACATGCTATCCCCAGCAGCATGTAGTTAAGAGAGAAAAGGGGACACCAAAGAAGAGGGTGAATGATGGGGTTTGTGGTGTACATGCCTTATATTGCAATAATTCTAATTTTGTACTTGTTATGTTTTTTCACAAGAACAAAAAGAGGCAGGGCTGACAATAAAAGCGCTAGTATGATTGGTTCAGGGAAACAAGGGGATACCAAGAGAATGGGGGACTGGGGATATCTTTTAGATGGTTGTATATGCCATATATTGCAAAAATTCTAGGTGGGACAAAAACAGGATCTGCTTGTATAATAGGCTTAAGGAGACAAAGGGGCACAAGGTGAGGAAGTGGTTTAAGTGATGTAGTTGGAAGAAACTTGTTAAGCAGTAATAATTTTGCATACCCATACTCTCTACCTTTCTTTGACTGCAAAAAAATAATCTAAGCAGACAGAGAAAAATATTTATTATTGCTGTATCAAGATGGTAATAGACAGTCTTCCTCTAGCAGATTTCATATTATCTCTCCAGGTAGTCTGGAACAATGTGTTGTTTGTGTAATATTTCTATATTTTGTATCATTCAATTTTCTGTCGCACATCAAGTGCCGCTGGTCATAGCAGGCAGGAATAGGAACTTATGTAAACTGGAAAATGTTTCCTCTGTGGTGCTGGCGCAATTCCAGCCATGGCTCATGGCTACCAAGTACTGAATCTCCAGAATCCAGACCAAGATCAGTGTACCCCAATCCTCCAACTGACTATGAGAAGCAGCAGCAACACGGGCTGCCCAGTCCTTGGCCAACTGGGAAGTCACTCCAGCTCCCCCATAGAACTCTACTTTAACTCCAATAACCATCCATACATATGGGAATTCACACCCCTATAATCATTCCTCAAAGAGATAAGACATATCATTTGGTAGATGCTATGTATCTATCCACTTTGGTGACCCACGGAGTGATATATCATGGCATTTCTTTTGCTTGCTAAGCTCACTCACTGGAGGGAGAGTACCTGTAGCAGCACAACTCTGCAACCTGAAGCATAGCATACTTGCTAGGTTGGGTCACACCAGGTCCACAGCCTTGTCCTCGCTTACTCACTCTCATCTGCTTCTCGATGACTCACTGCTGAGACCTGATTGGATAATAGGACACTTCATGGTTCTCTCACTGGACTGCAGGCTCCCCTCTTTCTCTGATAGCTGGCACAGCTTCAAAGTACTTAAGTCCCTGATCCTCCAAGTGCACTACTACAAGCAGCAGCAACACAGAGACTGCCCTGTCCTTCGCCAATGGGGAGCCTCTCCAGCTCCCCCATAGAACTCCAACTTAATCTCCAGCATCCAGCCATGCCTGTGGGAACTTACACCCACAGAAACACTCCTTAAAGAGATATAGACACCAGTCATGTGGTAGATGCACCCCGTCTACCACACAAGCACACAACTGTTAAGCTTGCACAGCCTAGAGGATGATTGACTGTACTTAACGTGAAGATGTCATCCTGATATGT